CCTACCTACCCTGAAACATCCTAAATTCCTGCGTCATTAAAACCAAGGGTCCCAAACACGGTACCTGCATACCCCTCGCCAGTGGCCCGACCTTAACAATATTGTCATGGTCACAATTTTTTGCTTAACCTAATGAGTATGTTGATGAGCTAAGCAGGCGTGTGTTTTCTCAAGTTTTTTTCTGTGTGTTGTTTTGCCAGGCATCTCATGTGATCACCGTCTCTCAAAAAGCACACTGGATTAAAATCACGCATTGAGAAATGGCTGCTTTAAAATGGCAGTGTTAGCTGACATTGCATTCACTCCGTCCCCTCCCGTCAAACCTTCTTAACTGCCCCGGCTACTTCAGGAGACTAAATTTCATGGCAGCAGCGACCCGCTAGTTGAGGAGAGCTTGAGACACTTGACTTATACAAAGGCGCACGCACAGGTCAGTAGTCTTAAAGTAATTCCTTAAATGCCTCCCCTGCCTTGCGGCCATAAAAATGAAGGTAAACAGAAAAAACGATAGTAGACACTGATTCCTACCCGTCACGCATTGATATTGAATTGATATTGATCCGATTCCTCATTGAACCTGGGGACATAAGCAAAAAAGAAAGAAAACAGCCAAAATTCTTTTTCTGCTATACTTTATATAAACACAGGTGAAGGGCATGAGGCTGGCACAGACGCAGATGAAGTTTCGCTCATTGTACGGGCGCACAGGTTCATTGAGATCTACGAAGTTCTTCCGGTTGTTTTCATCGTGAATATGGTCGCCGTAATGTGCCGTCGTAAAGTTCCCCATGCATGTCCCTGAAGCTTCTCTTTCAGGAAGGTACTTCTCCCTCGCATCGAAGGCACGTTACGAGGCAGAGCGCCGTCCAGAGCCAGACAATGGCAGCCATTGGATAGATTACCGCCGCCTGTGCACTGCATTCATATCCGCGGATGCATCGAAACACGCCCCGCTTGAACTGAGCTACAACGCGCCACGTCTACAATATGCCCATACACACCAAGCATAATGCCAAAAGGCTAAGTCTACATGACGAGAAAAGGAAAACGGGAAAAAATATAGGTACGATTCGCGTCATGAGAGGAGGAAACAGACAGGAGGGAGGGAGTGCTGCGAAATAACATAGATAGATAGATAGATAGATAGATAGATAGATAGATAGATAGATAGATAGATAGATAGATAGATAGATAGATAGATAGATAGATAGATAGATAGATAGATAGATAGATAGATAGATAGATAGATAGATAGATAGATAGATAGATAGATAGATAGATAGATAGATAGATAGATAGATAGATAGATAGATAGATAGATAGATAGATAGATAGATAGATAGATAGATAGATAGATAGATAGATAGATAGATAGATAGATAGATAGATAGATAGATAGATAGATAGATAGATAGATAGATAGATAGATAGATAGATAGATAGATAGATAGATAGATAGTAGATAGATAGATAGATAGATAGATAGATAGATAAACTAGCACAGCTTGCACTGATTCGCGCAAGGCTGGATCAGAGCAAAGCTGGTGGGCACGTTCCAGCTTCTCCCGTTAACCATATTCACAGGATACTCAGGCGGTCCTTAAGCGCATGCCGATTCACGATGACAATAATTATGTATCTAAGACATGCGACAAACCTGGACCATAACAGCTCTGCTGTAAAAGTGCGAACAAAATTTAAAGGTTTAATCAAGTGACAGCTAAGGTTGCACAAGTTTACATTTCAATAAGGAAAAATGACAGGACTAATTCAGTGCGATCAATGGTAACATTGCATCTTATGCTACAGCAGTACATGTCGATATGCGAGTGTAAGTTGTATGTAAGTTGTAAGTATGTGTAAGTGTAAGTTGTAACATCGACAAAGGCGCCTCATCATACTTCGGAGCCACTGGCGCCTGCTGTTTGACGTCAAATTAAATGAAACTTTATTTTCATCTCAGCAAGGAGATGGGGGGTTGCGGAGAAAAGGCTGCCTTACTGCAGCATGACTAAGCCCCCGGCCACCTGTATTATATTTCGACAGTGTGCAGCACAGACCATAGGTAGATGGTATGTTATAACACAAGCCAAGGCACTTTGCATATAAAAACAACAGAAAGAGTAATACAAAAGCGTTGACACGCATGTAGTAATTTTACTCTTTTTTGATAAATGTAACACATCAAAACGCTATGGCAGCAAAAAGATATGCACAGAATTAATTTATAAATAATACGTGGCAATGAATAATCGCAACCAAACAAGAGGAAGGAACGCAATGGCCGCATAAAACTCTATGTAAACAGCTAATAAATCCATATGTACATTTTGTATATACAAAATATACATAATGGCGGGCACAACCGAAGGTTGGGCGAGTTTGCTCTTATTCAAATATGGAACAGGAACATTCACTTTCTATTCTGTTAATAAACCGGAGGTAGAGGGACAGACAAAAAAGTTATAAAACAAAAACTCACAGGGTCCCTAATCCATTC